TCAGCGAACGTTTAGTTTCATATTATTCTGGTTGGTTACGTGTGGACTTCACCTGTTCTGGCTCTAAAGTCCAACATAACACAACAACAGTCAGCCGCTAACTATGTTAGATATGTAGGGGCAGTAATTTAATTCCGTGCTGAATCCACTTTGTACATACCGTATTATAATTACCACCACCCCCACCACCACAATCCTTGCATAATTGTGAAATGTCTCTTGATACTGGACACTGGGCTATATTTTCGACTGAAAATTGATTACCATCAGGTACGTGGACTGCACTTAAGTCACCGCACATTTCGCTTCAAGTAGTATCATTACATGTAGTACAGAGTCCAACATGAAGAGACATTTCACAAAAGTGTTAAGGATCGGAAAACAAAATTGGAAATACGCAATGTGTAGAGGTGGTTCAACACGAAAATAAAAACTATTACATAACATGACGCTACACTACAGAATCGAATTTACCGTAATTTTCGTTATCGAGATGGCAAACAGATAAAACATTCCTACGTTGGATGTATTAATACATTACATAGTCAAGGTTTTAATACAAAGAAGCGTCTCGTTCTACTTTTATATGGGAGTGTACAGCGAATATTTATGAATGGTTACGTCACCACTTGTTTTGAAACGCACACACAGATGACGCATGCACACAACAGCCAGTCAGCAGGTGTCCCCATAGTTACAAGGAACCGGGCTACGGAGTAAAATATTGAATGTCAGCTAATAAACTTTTACTTTCACATCCAACGAGGTTTCGTTTTCTACTTTACAACCCACGCATCTTCCACGATAATATCGGTATCGTAAACCTGCATGCACTTGAATAAATTAGAGGCAGATAACATTCATGAAATGCTTGTACTATTCAGTTCAAACTCGTTTGTACACACATCTCTTGTCTAAAAACATAAAAATTAAAATATACACAACTGTAACTGCATTTGTAGCCATGCAGATATGAAACCTCTCTCTCAGTCAACGGATTAACTCTTGTAAAAACAAGATCTGTCCACACACACACACACACAAACCCCCTACTTTGAAAGGTTCATTTTAATATTATCCCCTAATCTGAGCCTTGGTCTTCAGTTTTTCAAACGAATATATTGTATGCATATTTCAGTTTTTAATTTGTTCTCCTTAACAATATTTACTGAAAAGTTATGAAGATTAGAATTATAATCATTATTATCACATTTTGCGCAGACAGCTTCATTTAGATCAACACAGTTTTCGTCATGCCACATAAAACCAGGGCCAGATGGCAGGTATCCAGTCATAAACTACGGGTGTCTTACTGAATCCGACATCCGAAATGCCTTCCAAACACGGAATCAAACCCTTACCTTCCCGAGCGCTAATCCCTCAAAAGCGATGATCTACAACAAAGTCATGAAATCATCACAGGCTGTTCAGATGTTAATATCAAGAGTCCCATGACATGTGACATGATAAAAATTACATTGTATAAACGAGATGCCAGTCACATTTATACCGGCAGTAACTGAACCGATTCCTAAATGACAAAGCCTATTAAATTCTGCACATGCAATGTTACGAAAGACAGTTAAATGCTACGTGGAACATAAACGAACGTTTAAAACCTCATATTCAGTTTTATGTGGTGCATTGCTCTTAACCTTTGACCATTCGACAATCGTAAAATAAAGCAAAGGTTATGCCCTTCGAGAATTACGCAGCCGTTGACAACAACGAACACAACCCTTACAATGACATCGGCATTAGTTTTAATGCTCAGCGACCAAACAACTTCACACCAGAGAAGATACCTCTACAGCATTTTTTAAGGATGAAGATACAGATCGGGATACATGGTGGCATAATGCCCGTATCGAATTTGACGAAAATCAGTATGCTTATTTGAATCTGAAATAAAACATAGAGATGGACAGTCGATAATAGTGCTTCGGAACCCTGAAATCATCCTGACTTTCGCAACATAATAAGGACGCTTCAGCGTGATGTATTCGCCGGATTCTCTTCGCTCGAGCAGTCATTTTCTGCACGTCTCCGACAAATAACTATTCTAACCTATGACGACTGGAATTTCATTAGTCCGGCTTGTCACAGCCACCATTACGTTATCCTGTCTCTAGATCACCCAGTACCCGGGGAAAAGTCTCGTCTTCTACAGAGCTTAATTAATAAATAAATAAATATATATTTCTACCACGTTACACCATTAATGCTTCGCTCATAGTCGGAGCCCATCTCCATAGCAACAAATGCAGCAGTGAGACACAAGGCAAAGAAACGTGTCGCCTCTTCCAATGTTGTTGCTCGACACGTCATCTGGTGTAGGCTGTCAAGATGCTGACCAGAATACGTTAAATCTAAATGTTTTAAAATTCCTCTGTTTTAAGTAATTAATAAAGTACCATTCTTGGCATTAGACATCACTGCTTCTCCTCAAGAGATCTCTGAAATAAATGGTATGGATTTCGACACCCGAAACATCTATTTCTTAATGCGCATATGACTTCCAGTTCTGTTAGCCGATGACAATTATCACCACACGCAATGCTACAGAATGAACAGGTTATACAATACAATACTTTTATTTTCCGTCGTTTCACAAGCTTATTGTTAAAATCACATAAAATTTCACATAAAATTGTTACATTTTTAAAATTGAATTATGTGAAATTTTATGTGATTTTAACAATAAGCTTGTGAAACGACGGAAAATAAAAGTATTGTATTG